GCCTCCATGTTTTGGACCTCCTCCTGGTCGTCCGCTTGCACCTCAGTGATAGTGCTCAACGAGCCTAACTTCGGGCAGTCTCTCATACGACGTGGCCCCTTGCACACAAAGCATTTGACTTGAGGCATAAAAGTTTGCTTCTTCTCCTCGTAAGATTGACGCGTTGACCCCTAGCCTTCGCGTCGAGCCGGCGACCTCCCCTGGTCTATGGCTTCACGGTTTCCGCTCTCATGCTCCTCTTGGTCTGAGTCCCCCTTGTGCCTCGACGACCCCTCTCGAGCGCACGGGTGAAACTCGGTAAGGGACTCAGCTGCAGCGATGGCCTCATCAACCGTTTTCACGCCCCGACGTTGCAACTCTTGCTTTGCCCACATTTGTAGACCGTCAACGAAATAAAACAACTTATACTCCTCGGTCAAGGTTGGGATTTAAAGCATCAAGGTTGTATATTGTTCCACGTACTCACTAATCGTGCCTCTTTGCCTCAACTCCCTAAGATTCTTGCGGGCTTGGTACACCACATTCTCGGGGTAGAATTGCTTCTTGAGCTCCCTCGTGAAGTCATCCCATGACTCGATCCGACAAACGCCCCTCTCGATTTCGGCATGCTTCCTACGCCACCATAACATAGCGTTATCGGAAAGGTAAAAAGCAGCAGTATGTACCTTGGTAGACTCATCCTTGAGTTCGATGCCTTCGAAATATTGCTGAATGCTCCATAGAAAGTTGTCCACTTCCTTAGCGTCCCTCACGCCGTTGTACCCGACCGGCTTCGGGCACTCCACCCTTGGAGAGGACATCGGGTGACTAGCCTCTCCACTAGCGATCACCCGCTTGCACATCGCAAGGCCCTCGCGCATCCCCTTGATGCTTGCTTGGAGGCCCTTCACAAGGTCTACCAGCTGACCCTTGACAAAGTCCTCCAGTTGATCCAAGCGATCCTCTGCAGGCATGCGCGTCTCCAGTCCCTCCTGGATCGTGCGCTTCACGAACTCCATCTCTTCCAAGACGTGCGTCTCCAGCGTTTGGAAGTTGAACTCGACCCGCTCGAGCTTCTCGCCCATCTCCCCAACAACTTGATCCAAGGCCGAGACCTCGGCGCGGGCGCGGCTTTGTCCCGACGCTTCTTATCCTTGGTCGCGGTGATATGCTCCCGCCCTCGGGCTTGCTCCTCGGTTACCCCAGACCCGGATGCCTCATACTCCTTGTCTCCTGCCATACTCTACACAGTACCGAGCGTAGCTCTGATACCACTTGTCACGCCCTTATTTCTCGAACCTTGGTTGCGTGCGGCCTTAGGCCCTCGTTGCGCTCGTGCAAACTAGCTAAGTTAGCCTCACCGTGCCTGGACCGTGCTCGGTGTGTGCGAGTGCTTTGGCTAGAGAACATGGGAAAGGGGGTTGAAGGGAAAATGCTCGTACTATTCACACAAACTAAGTATAAGAGAGGCTTGGATGATGCTTGGATGGGTTGCAAATGAGGGGGACCTCGCCTATTTATAGGCTCCACCGCCTCTAATGAACCCTCTAGAACCTACAAGGGTCTTGCGCCTTCTAGACCCTTCTACATGTCTCCCACACGTCCTAGAACCTTCTACATGGCTCGTGGCCCTTCAAGTCCCTACTACAAGTATCTATACAATTCTAGGGCCTTCTAGAAGCTCCTAGACAAAACTAGACCCTCCCTAAGGCATCTATGTACAAGACTTAGGTATGGTACGGCCTAAGTCATCAAAAGGTCGGGCAGGCCCCGTGCGTGCGCGCGTGCTACCCTCGTCTGTGCGCGCCCTTCCTGTGCGCTTGCGGCACTGCTCGGGTCCCCTCGGGTCTGCTCGTGTCTGCCCCGGCGTGCTGCTCAAAGCATCCTCGTGCCTAAAACCCGCATGGGCGCTGCTTCCATGCGCGGGCCTACTCGGGTCTGGGTAAGCACAGCGTAACACTATACCTTAAATTCAGACTCTCATTCTTCGTCGTCCTTGATTTTTGAGATGACATTTTCAACCTACATTCATTTTAAAAAAAATAAATAAAAATAATATTAAAAAAGAAAAAATTGCTTACATGTTCATGAATATTGCTGAAAGAAATTTGCAAAATATGTGGCTGAAAAAAAAATGTACCTGTTGGCACCAAAATGGAGCAACAGTGAAGAAATTGCGCCAAAATTATGTCATATGGTGGAGAAAACAGGTGCAAGGGTTGCTGCATATTTCAAGGGTTGCTGAGGGGTAAAATGGTCATTTGACAGGCTCATGCAGTGAAATTGGAAGAGAGAGTCGCATAACAAGCGTGTACACCACAATTCTGTCATCTTAAACGGGTTTGGGTATTTCACACATGCAAAAGTACAATACAAGGGGGTTTGATGTAATTTTTAAATTACAAGGGGAAAACGCACAGATTTCGTATAATACAAGGGGGTACTATATATTTTACCCCTTAATTATTTGTAGCTTTTAGTGTTTTTTGTTGTGTGTTTTGCATAGTGGTTCTTTGGGCCGTGGTGGTCTTTTTAGGGGAACTCTTGTTAGATGTTCTCTTTTTGGGTCTCTTTCGAGGTTGTTTTCAAAAGGAACCTCGTTGTAATCTGGTGGTTATCAAACTTTGTATTTTTCGATAATTTTATCAAAGTTTGGTGTTTGAAAAAAAAAAAAAATAAATAAACCTATAGAAACTCGTAAAATTTTCTCCAACAAGATTTTTTACATAATGTATGACAGGTTTTTTTTTTAACAAAATATATAATTTGTAATCTTTTAAAACAAAAATTTGAGCCCCATTGCGTGTTGCCTTCAAACTAGTTTATTTGACATTGTAAAGAAACGACTTGCATGAACATGTATTCTCCATGCCCTTATTTTGAAAATCAATATGAATTCTCCATTCTTCCTTTGTCCATATAAAAATGGGAATTGGGGGCTCTTAAAAAAACAATTTGTATTTTCTCGCTATTGCGACACATGATTCAACTATAACAAATAGCTAAGCTTAACTTTATAAAATACAAAATTGATAAGGGCTCACCTGGATATCATCACTAGAACAAAATGATAATAAGGGGAAAAAAATCTTAGAACTCCATAGTAATATACAACGAACCATATCATGGTGATTGTTATGAACGACAAATTTACAGACAAGATGTCATTGAGCATCAACTTCCCGTACAAAACGGAAAACACAGTGTACTCATAAGATAACAATCACAGTTTCCATAAAACAAAACCCCCAACTTAACTAAATCTTAACCAAACATCAACCAGATGAGGCAGATTAAGATTAAAATGCCTCCTCCAACCATCAGCCTCATGCGGAGAGTTTGCAGCCACATCTGCCGACGAAGCTGCCTTCCTTGTCTCTGAAAACTGTCAGCCTGGACAAAGATTTCGACAAGTACATTAACAAGAAATCCAGGTGTGAGATTTTTTAGGCAGAAACAGACCACCGTTGATAAACTTGGGGGAAAATAAACGAATAAATAATGAATATTATTGTTGAACATAAGTTAAACACATTGGGACATATCGCACCCTACCTGCTGGAATCAAAAAATCACCTTCAGCATAAATCTAAATAATCCTAACAAGTATGCAAACCCTACAAGCCTATAATCCAATTATTCATGAATAAAGTACAACAAAATAAATAATCGACAATAGATCGATCTCTGACGCTATTCACCTGGAACTGAAGATTTTCTGTTTTATCTACCAGCAACTCAATCTTCTCGCCACGATCCAAAACCTGAATGAAAATAAAGGGTTTGAAAATTTGGTGTAGAGTTTATAAATTAATATTAAAAGCTTAAACTGGGTATGGTTTAATTTAAAAAGTTTAAACTGGGTATGGCGTGAATAAGAAGATGCCCTTTAGCATAAAGTCCATATAAACACAAGTGATCTTGCGTTCACTTTGTATGCAGGTGATGTTGCCTTCACCTTCACCTGTTTAATTGTCCAAAACTACACTACAAATAGATGTCCAGCATACAAAACCAATTTGGCATAATCCATATGATAATTTGCAAAAGGAAGAGAAGAGGAAAGATGCCAAATGGTGCGAAATTCTATAACATTCAGAATCTAGCAGTCTCCTGAAATCTTCTCTCGTATCTCAAAGAACCACTACAGTTAATGGTGCATCAATAGGTTTTCCTTAAAACATGAAATGCCCAAACAGAAAAAATTAAGAGCATTTGCAGCAAATGACGCTCTCAGATCAACCAATAGATTTCGGCCATTTGTGGTGAACGTCCAAACATAAAACTGTATTTTCGAACAGTGATACCAGATGGCAGCCATGGCCCAGGCAGATTTCTGCCTAACTGCCCAGGCAGATTTTCGAACAGTTATGGCGGATTTTGGCCTGCCGCCAGATTTTCCGCCATCCGCCATTGACAACATTGTCCGCGAAGCACTGATCTCTTTAAAGAATGACCGAAACCAACTCCTACTTGCTTCAAGTTAAGTGAAAAAAGCAACAGAATTTTGAAGTGCTTATTCAAGCAGATAATATCGTAAGAACCAGTAGGAATGAGTGAATCATTCGGTGCCAAAGATTTTATTTGAAACATTAAGATCCTAGAGTCTCAGCTAGTCAAAACAAAAGAATATGCAACCAAGGATGAAATAATTTTTCACTAAATAATTATTCAAAATTCCATAAGCAGTTAATGATCTAGTGGATCAACTTTTTCAATAAATACAGAAAATAACTATCAAACAGTTGGAAGACACTAGAAAAAGGAATATAAGAATTGGTACACATAATATGATCTACATGTATTGAATATATTAAACACAGCAATTTGGATAGTTGTCCGCTTGATGTCTTTTGCTAAATATCTGTATCATTGAATTATTTTAGTCTTTATTCCAATCAGGGATAGAATCTCACAATCACAATCAACTTCTAAATAGATAATCAACACTTGCCCACTGGTTTCTTTCTTTCATTATAGTAAATTACGAACTACATGGGCCATAATCATAAAAATTTCCATCACAGCTTGATGAGTTCGAGGTAAACGACTAAGAACATCCCCCAAAGATTATTGGACCAAGGTCTGAGAGTGACTAGAGCCTGACAATCCAACCCATAACTAATACATTGACAGCTTAATTCAGAATACGTGCAAAATAGTACAACCCTGATTGATATTTCGGCACTCGTATAAATGTAGAGTGGGTTTGGAAGCACTGCAGGAATGTGTCTAAGTTGTGTGTCTTTTTTGTGTGTGAGAAAGAGCTGAGGGAGTGAGAGCGAGAGAGACGAAAGTAAATGAGGCTTCAGTAGGTCAAGATGAGAAAATTTAATAATTTTAAATTCAAATCTGTGCAAGAGAATTAGTTCTCAAATAAGCACAACGCACAAATAAAAATCATATAGTGGGGCCAAAAAAAAAACAGACGAGAATTATTTAACCATAAGAAATACAAGTGGTATGTAAAAATTATTGAAATCTCAACCAGAATGCCAGCACCCCAAATTATTAAAGGATGATAAATCTTCTGACTTGATATTTTTCCTTTGAGATGCAACAAAAAAGTGGAGTCAGCCACACTTGTGCAATCTGTGTCCTTTGTATAAATACAGATATGCACGAACATTTAATATCTTAATCATAAACATATCACTACTTTTCTTTGCGATGATCCCAGATTCAGTTATCTGTGTACTACTCTAGTTTTACAAACATTCACAAAACTAAAGACAACCAACAAGAGATGGTAAATGGAAGAGTGTAATGACTAACTTAAGGTTGACACTAAACTTATGATAACTCGGCAGAATAATGTACAAAAACTACCCAAGATTTAGTCTATTTAGAGAAAGAAAGAAAATGTAGCTCACCGTTGTAACTACTTTACAAATCCCCTTGAGGTTTGCAACTACTTTACAAATACAGCTCTCTTGATGGTACAGTTTTGTAAGAAAAACAACTCTGGGATTTAAAGGATAATTGGTTTTTTGGTAATTAGGGTGACCTTCAAGGGTTCGTTTGTAGTTAACTCAAACTCAAATTACAAATATTTAATTCCAGGCCCAGCATACCATGATTCACTTCCAATAACAAGAAGACTGCACTGGGAGTGTACCTTTTCAATGTTGTCCATCATTATTCCTTTGACTTCTGTTATTTGAGCCCTCAATTTGGATAGCTTATTCATTTCCTCTGGGTGATTCATACAGTACTGCATGTGCTCTTTAAGTTTCGGCCTAATAAACCAAACACAAAATTAAGTTCGGAGTCATGCTACGGGAATAGAAATTAAAGTTTCCAGTTATTTCCCCTAACAAAAAATGATTTACACACCCGAATTCTCGATCAAGATTGTATGCAATGCTAAATCGGTCTTCAAATAAATCATCATCTTCATCTTCATCGTCAGCAAGAGGATGCTGACCATCACTCTTGATGCTATCACCATAATGTTGTTTAAAGTCATCCTTCACTCTTTCAAGAAAGACAAAAGGAACGCTTCTCCCCATCGTTTCATCTGCAACAACCAGGAAAACTGTACACCAAACAAGAATTCGACGTCACCATAACAATAGAGAAAAGGGGTAAACACGCACATAGAAAAGTAAGTACCAAATCCACCGTCAAGGAGAAAATTGAAAGTGTGGCCGTCACAGGAGTATGTGTACTTGCTGCTGCTAGAAGGAAGCTTCTGCAGGCACTGGACGGCAATTGTGCTGAAGTTTCCTGAGTAAGGTGTGTGCTCTGCCAAAACCACAGTCCCTTTCGCAACAAAACTATAAATTAAGCCTTTTGGTGTCATTTTCAAGAAGGCAGCAGCCCAATAATATGCCCGTTGTTCACCTAAGAAGTTTGATTACAAGTAATCAACAAATGGTTCAAACGCAGAACCTCATGTAATTCAAGTTTGAAACCACTGGCCTAACATCAAATTGACCTCAGAATGGAATCTGGAAGCCAAATTATACTTGCATATCTAACAAACACCAGAAATTTTTAAAAGCACAAGTAATTTTACTTGCATATCACATCGGATCATATACTTGCATATCACATCAGATCATGGCTAAAATCATAGAGAAGAGGAGCCCTTAAGAAAAGTTTTTTAAGAAAGAACTGGGAAATAATTGTCAAAAGACACCAGAAATTTCACATCATAGGGGCTGAACAAGCTTACAGAAAATAAAACAAAATATTGGAAAACGAATGGGCATCCAAATACCGGCGAAAGAATCATGACCTGTAAAATTCTCAAAGGGTTCCTGAAACCCAATCGTAATGCAAGTTATTATAGTTACGGATTATTGGCTTTGGCGCGAAGAAAACGATGAAAGCTTGCCGCAAGAAATTAATCGACGAAGCAAGAGATGTAAATTTGACATGAATTTCCGAAACCCTACAAAGTAGAAATCAGCACAATCGAAGAGAGAAATAAATAGAAAATTACCTTAGGCAATCTCAAGAGAGTCTAAGAAAGACGGAGAGAGGGGCGGCAGGCGGTTTAAGTCGCGGGGGAAAGAGAGGCGAAAAACTGAGAAGTGGGAAGGAATGAAGAAAGCACCGGCTCGTATAACCCGACGAAAGTACACGGTCGCCTACGGGCCCTTTCCTTATTTAAAAGGGTTGGATAAATTATGCAAGGCTCTTCGATGGCTTGATTAAACAAATCTAAGGCGCAATTTAACGGATGACGTGGTCATACACTCTCATACATTGATGAAGCAGAACTCATTCTTTCGGTGATCTAAAGTATTTAGTGTCTTTGTTGGAGATCTTCGACTTGTCTACTATAGTGCGCACCGAAATTATTCAATTATGTAAGCGCTTTCTCTGAGGCTTGAAAAGCATTCCCGTAACTTGAGATAGCTTATGTCTCCCTCGCTCGAAATGGTGCTTGGGCATATGTGATTTGAACGCTTGGAACCAAACATTGCTTGACGGACTCTTTGTAACATGCAAGCCAAGAAGGAAACCCTATGGCACAAATGGATCCACCACATTTATTTGGGGGCAAGTTCATTTGGGAATGAGATATACACAAGGATGACTCACCCCTATTCAATTATTTTTTTACATCCGACAAGCCTTGGTTGACAAAATAAGTAGGCCGCAAAAGCTTCACTTCATCGTTGGAATTCACGAGATAAGCAAGATGGGTCGAGAAGTTGCTATGATTTCTTAAGGCCTCGCGGAACAATGATGCCATGGACCGGGGTAGTTTAGGGGCCTTGCAATAACTCCAAACATTCCTTCATTCTTTGGTTGGGAGTGCTCAATCGTCTCCGTATTAAAGACCAGTTAGAGTTCCTCGATGAAGACCCGACTTGCTCCCTTTGTGGTGGTGCTATGGAATCATCGGGTCACCTATTTTTCGAGTGCCCTTTTAGCTCGGAAAGTTGGGGGGCGATTCGTGCTTGGGTTATGTAACACCCCGCTTATCAGAGTAAATTTTTCGCAACTTATATTTCGAAAATACTTATGAATCACTTTAACTTAACTCGGGATGCTATTAAAAACTTCTTTTTTCTAAAAATTCGTTTTTCTTTAAACTTGATCTAACTACTGAGTTAGACATAAAGAAAACAGATTTTAAATCTTTAATCAAACACGCATGTAAATATACCTTGTTCATACTGATGAACCGGTAAAATCTGAAAACCTGAAAATAACATGCAGTTCGAATTGAAACACATAGCAGAAGTCTTAAAAATGTGAATAATTATACAGACATAATTTATTTAAAAGTCCATATATCAAAAGTTCATTGAGTCATATCCCCGAACACCACATCTAATCTCACACCTCAGCACCGACCCTGTGACCTGAAAATGATAATAGTGGGACGTGAGTACTAATCCACTGTACTCCGTAAAAACCCATACTAAAGCAAACAACAATAATAATATAATATCATGATCGTTGGTATATATATATGATGGGTCTACTCTCAGATCTAGAGTGAACCGGTGGTAATGAGCTCAGATCTGCTTGAATCGCCTTTGAACCGTTGCTAGACCGCAACAACACCTGCAAGAACTCAACGCCGGAAGTGTTTCCGGCGTAGAGCCTCCGACGCTCAAGTCAGTATGTAAAAGAGATGAAGAAGAAGAGCTGTAATAGCCCAGTTTCATTATTAATAAAAGTGGCAGTTTAGTTCTAAGTTTGAACTATTTTCTTTTATTAATATTGCTCGTCTCGAGTTTCGAGCCCAGTTATTCAGCTATTCAATCTCAGTTATTAATTCCGGTCCATTTGTTTTTAGAAATGGATCTTATTCAGATGGGATTAATCATTCCAGTTGACGGATAATCGAAACCGAGTATGTTTCGATAAATCGTCCAAGTCATGCCGTGTCCGGAACCGAGTATGTTCGGTCACGAGTATTGCGCCTAGTTTGCGCTTAGCCAAGTCTCGAGCCCTAGTTGTGCTTGTAGCCTTACTTAGAATTTGTCTAAGTATGAGTTCATTATTAGCAAGCTTTAGAACCCAGAGTTAGCCTCGGCCAAGTGACGCTGAGCCCAAGCAAGAGCTGCGCCAAGCTTGCGCGCCTAGCCTATGTACGAGTGCATAGTCGCGCCTCGTCATGGCCAAGTCTCGTGCTAAGTATTGCCGAGCATTGAGGATATTTTCCTAAGTATTTTAGAGCTCCTAAGTCAGCTCTTAAAACTGCTGTATACTCGGTCAAAGTCCATAGCGCCGAGCCTAAAGAATGCGCGCCTAAGTCCTCGCGCGAGTCCTTACGGGAGCCCAAGTCATGGCCATATTTGATGGGATATTTTCCCTAAGTATTGGGATTGATTTTTCAGCCTGAGAAGTGGTTCATACTCAGCCCAAAAGCAGCTCGCCCAACCCTCCAACCGCGCGCCCAGCGGACCCGCGCTTGCGCCGCACCATTTCAAGCTCAATGCGATGGAGTTTCGGCCCAAAGTCCTATGGCCTAAGTGCATGCGAATTTTCAGAGGAAAATGAGGAGTCAAAGAGGGAAAATTCAGATTTTAAATTGGTCCAAGCAAGGTCAAAGGCACTAGCATGAGATATTGTGAATGGAGCCTTATTTTAAGGGGAAAAGTGTAGTCTTGTGTCCCCCACTCACCTCCAACCCGACCAGCCTTGTCTTCTCCACTTTTGACTGCCTCGTTCAGCTCCAAAAGTCAGCAACCAATCCCCTAAATCGTGCAAGACATGCCCCATACCTTCACAAGACTAGTCAAAAGTGCACTAGCATGAGAAATGGTGAGTGGAGCAATATTTTAATGAGCTAGTGGAGACCTTTGTCCCCCCTCTCACCTCCAGCCCGACCAGAGCACCTCCTCGAACCATATTGTTCTGCAAAGTCTTCCTTTATTCTTCCAAAACTCGTGCAAGTCAAACCAAAGCATGCCCAAGACAACTCCAAGACTCTATGCACATGTGGTGGCGTGTTTGTCCCCCATAAACAAGTCTCTCTCCAGCATTATTGAGGACTCTTGGAAACTTAGAATACTCAGCAATATTAAGAGAAAAGAGGAGAAAAACCGAGAGGAAGAAGGGAAGCCCATCTCATGCATGCAAGGAAAGAAAGAAGAGGGAACCGAGCCTTACCTTAGTCCAGCCATATACACTTGTGGTTTATCATTTCTATAGTGTTTGGTGGATTTTTGTAAGTCTTTAGAAGCTCTCTAACTCAGCCATTTGGCCTCCAAGTCGAGCCAAGACCATAGGGTCGCAAGTTAGCACGAGCAAGGAGACCTTAGCACCATTTCGAGTTTGGTGAAAGGTAAACTCGAGTTTTTCATTTTTCTCAGCTTTAACATGATAAATTGGGAATTATCGTGAAGAAAAATGAGGTCATCCACATGCTTAGAGATGAGTTTCAAGTTTTTGAAGTCATGGCCCTTAAATTCGGATTTTATGGCACAAGCATGATTAGGCCAATTTTAATAGCTCATTATCCCTCAAAAATCATGTATATGACATTGGTAAAAGATAGGCATGTTTTGGGTTCAATGGTTCGGTCAAGTTGATAGTGAAATCGAGCTTATTTTCACCTTCGAGCCTAAGTTATATGCATGCGAGTTATAGCCAATGTGTGAGCCCCTAAAGTCATATTTTTTATGCTTAGTATTCGGCCTTAAGTGATTTTATAAGTTGAGCAAGTCTATTCGGGGACCTAGGGTCTGTACGAGCCATATTGACTCTACCGGACCAAGTCAAAATCCAACCGAGGTCTCATAGTGATACTTGGCATTTTTATGTGTCTTATATCATTATAAGTTGGGTTGAGTCCATTTTCACCGGAGTAGTCACCGGAAGTCCGGGAAGGACCGGTCACTGGCTGCGCACATAGCGCTCACAGTGCCAGGCCTGTCGCAGAGGCCAGGCCACGCCTCTATCCATGCCCGCGCCCATCAGGCGCGAGGCCCTGCAGTCCTCAGTAAACGCGACAGCGCCCAGAAGCGCCTGTCCGCGTTGCGTACGAGGTCTCGGTGCCAGTCGTGCCCAGCTAGCATGCACAGCGCCCAGTAACGTCGTGCCCAGTTGATGAAGGATCGCGTGTTTCCGACTCGTGACCTTGCCTCAGACGTTGCGCGAACTCGATCTTCGGCGAGGGTTGCGGACGACTCGGAGGTTAATCTCCTTATCTTCTCGCGATAGGTGAGACAGCTCGGACGGATGTCCTTGCCAAACTCGTCTTGCTCGAGCTATGCGATGGAACGCCCTTCTCGTAACAAGGATTTTGCACTAAATCTCAAAAGAAATCTAACACAAGAATTTGGTGACCAATGGTCGATTTTTCATTAATTCAAGACATGATATTTTCGAATGACAATGGGGCATATTTATAGATGCGAAACTAAGTCTAATCCTAGTCTAAGAAGAACTCCTAATGCTTGGAAGTAAATAAAGTCCTAAGGAAACTAAATCACTAATTAAAGCAATAAAATATTAAAGTCCTAAACAATCTAGATATCATAAGCAATAAAGAAACCAAATAACTAAAGGATCCTAAGTGATCTTGTCTTGCACTCCAAGTAGGGAAATCCCTAGCCTATCCCTGCGCGCGCCATTCCTACTCCTCCTAGGGAAGAAACCCTAGCCTCCGGGCGCGCGTCGCCTTGGGTCCGTCCAGCGTGCGTCTTCCCTATGCCTTGAAGGATCATGCCCGAGCCTGCATCGCCTAGTCCTAACCCGCCAAGGCGTTTGCTCGAGCGCGTCTCCACTTCGCCTATTCCTACTAGGAATATGCTCCCGGCTACTTTGCCTGTTCCTTTGAGGATTACTCCCGTCGCCGATCTATCACGAGCGTACCAACACTCAGTTGCTTTGCCTAGTCCTGCGGGGTCTAGTATTCGCGCCTTGCCTATTCCTATGAGGATTAGGCTTGCGCCCCTTGCTTGTGCGATCATCTCGCGTGCTTCCCTCGCGTCTTCTGCCTTGCGCCCCAAGTTGCGCGGATCAACCCTAGGTGGCGCGGTATTCCTCGCCCACCAAAGACTCGCACCCGTTTAGCCATTGCACGTCCTGTGCGTTGCTGACCTCATCCCGCGTCTGCCCCGTCGCGCCACGCATGCGCTCTTGCATTCGCGCGTCGTCCCGCTCTCCAGTGGACGACACGAGATCCTTCCTCCGATTACTGGCTCGCGGACCACGCCCCGTGTCCTGATTGCCCATCGCTGGTTCGACCCCTGCGCCAGCCTCCTTTCGCGAGCCTCGGTATGTCGATCGCCTCAGCCGCGTATGCGCCGACTCGCGTCGCTCACGTCTCCTCCCAGCGCATCCGTGTCGCACTCTCGCGCGCATTGCGCACCTTTTCCTCTTGTGTAGGCGTGTCTCGATCGTCGACTTGCGTACTCTCTTATGCCATTGCGCACGTCTGCACCCTCGTATACGGGCTCGTACACGTCTCCATAGCCATGCACGCATTGTTTCGGCCCTTTTCCTGGCCTTCTCGGGCTGACTTGGCACTCGGCCCTTCTCGCCTTTGGGGGTCGAGACCCACATTCTCATCACCAGTCCAGTGCGCGTGTCTTGAGCCCAGCAGCTCGTGCCGGGTCCAGAGCGAACCCGAGTCTTGTTCTCTATGTTCAGTTGGACCCGGGACGTGCCCAGCAGCACGCCCGAGTGCCCAGTCACCCTCAGGGTCGCCCGACAGCGCTTTAGCAGCCCCAGCCGCGCCAGAGTCTACGCGAGTAGTGCCTAGCCGTGTCTGTCCGCACCTAGTCGTGCCAGACCCGAGCGCAGCGTGTCTGTCGGCACTCAGTAGTCCCAGACCAGAGTCTAGCCGTGCCTAGAAGCACGTCAGCGTCTTAGTTAGCCTCGACCGTGCCCAGCAGCACCTAGTGGCACCAGTCGTTCCAGGGCTCGTGCCAGTCGCACCTGCCCGCGCCCAACAGCGCCTAGTACCATGTCCCGGTCGCACCCAGCTGTGCCTAGCGCCGCGCCAGGGCACCATCAGGCCCGGTGCGGGACCGAGCCTGGTTGGTCCGAGCCAGCCCCTGACCACCCGGACCGGAGTGAGCCAGCAGTCCAGCCAGTTAGTGAACCGGCTGGTTCGACCAGCGGTTCGAGTCAGTTTTGGTTCAAGTATTTCGGTCCGAGTTTTATTCCGAAAGTTAAGTATTTTTCCGAGCCAAACCAGTTCAGTTGAGCATATCTGTCTAGATTTCTGGACTTAGTTTTATTAAGCGAACCCTTAGAGCGTTCCTTTATATCCGGATAAGTTATCTTATAGAGTAGAGCATCTTAGCATATTATTGAGCATATGACGAGCATAGTACTTAGTATATTTTGTTTGCTTATATTTTTATGTACCTTGAGGAGTCAGCTACCAGCACAGCAGCACTTACATATTTTCAAAGCAGATCAGGTGAGGATACAGCTTGGGTATTACATTGAGTTTAATAGCTGATATCATGTCCAAGGTATGTATATAAGCTACCTAGGGTGGAGGCCTAGTTTGCTCCAACTGAGGTATGAAAGTTTATCCGCTTAGGGTGGAGGCCAACTGCCTTAATAAGCCATTCTAATTTCTGGTGGAGGCCAGTTGCCTTAATAAGCCATCAGAGTGGGCACACGGTACCGTCCAGAGAGTTCCGGGAGATTAAGTTTTAGTTACCGGCCAGAGTGTTCCGGGAGTTTAAGTTATATATACTTGTGATCATGATATCATTACTATTTTTGTTGTTTACTTTAGTATGGGTTTTTATGAGTACAAGAGGACCAATACTCACCCCCACTATGTTTTTCAGATGACATGGTCGGCAGGTAGGCGTGAGTCCAGCTGTGGTGGTTGTGGTCGTGGATTTGGCACAACAAGCCGATTCGTGGATATTTGTTTTATTACGTCTGTATAACGATTATGCCACGCATTTTAAGACTTCCGCTACATTTATTTTCCGTTTGAACTTGCATGGTAGTATTTTTCACACTTAAATATTTTACCTAGTTCGCCAGTACGAACGGGTCAAATTTCACATGCATGTTTCGATAAAAGATTTAAATCTGTTTTTCTTTAAAGTCTAAATCAGTCGTTAGACCCAGTTTAAAAGAGAACGGATTTTAAAGCAGATAAGTTTTTAGTAGCATCCCGAAATAGTTTGCTTCGAAAAATTTACAAGCGTTTTCGAAAAAGAAATTGCGAAAAATTGGCCCTAAGTAGCGGGGTGTTGAAATTGGTATCAGAGCACCTTTTGTTCTATGAATGCTTTAAAGAGACAGGTAATTTTAGAAAAACCCAACCACACCACACTCACACTGCGCCGACTACCAGGTAAGTGCTGTTAAAATTTTTCAAAGTTTATATAAGCAAGCTGTACTATGTCTATGCTCAATAGAATTTAGATAATCCGAACTCTAGATGCTCAAGATCAGTAAGAAAGACTACTAACAGTATCAGACCTATCCTCCTATAGATGTCAGAACTCTAGTTCGAATTCTAGTTGGAACTCTAGCTTATCGAGTTAGCGACTCGTCAAGAAATCGAGCCTCGCACCTAGTTGCCGCGACAAGCCATTCTCGAGCCCTAGTAGTGCCGAGTTTGGACTAAGTCATTATCGAGCCTCAGCAAGTAATAGCACCTTTTTCAGTTGTACTAATTCCAATTCCCATTCAAGCTACGGGCTGCCTATTTAGAGGGCACGCCATAGAGATCAAGCTCAGCAGGAGATGACTCAGTCAGCTATAGTCGTCCAGTTCCGCGACTACAATCCCGACAAGTTTACGGGACAAGGAGATCCTTGCCAAGTAGACGAGTGGATCCAGGGTCTCGAGCAGATTTTCGAGATCATTAGGTTTCAGATAGGCACCATATTCTCTGTGCCCAGCTTCAGATGACGGAAGAT